CCATTACTCGTATTACTTCCATTTTCGTGATAGAATGTTAAATAATGCATAAGAAGTAACCCCGGTTAGAATTAATCGACCCAGCTTAGAACATATTAACATTCACATATATAAATATAAACATTTTGGTTATTTGTTCGATTCGTGTTAATATTTTTGATAAATTCGATTAGATTTAAATGATCGATTTCTATTTATTTCAATTAGCTTCCGTACCTTTTAAATACTTTTTATAAAATAACTATAATAATCATTGCAGTGTTTATTTTCAAGATTATTTGTTTGAAACATTTGCTCGTAAAATAAAGAGATAAAAATAATATATTTTGTATATGGTGCCGTATAAATAATAAGTTTTATTTTAAAATGTTTTAGAGATTTTTATTACGGAATAATAATTAATATTATTAATTTTAATTAAATTATCGAAACGAGAGGAAAGTTTCATTTTCCCTTGAAAAATTTATAAAATCTTTTTATACTTATTCTTTGTATAATAATACAGAGAAAAACCGATTTGGCAAAGTACTAGTTTTGACTCTTTTGGCAATCTTCTACGATCGTCATGTAGAAACTAAGATACGCGAAGTCGTCGTATTTCGTTTAACAATTTCTTAATAGGATTTGTTATTGGAGTAAGACGATCAAAGATCAGTAATGTATCAGTTTAACAACGATTATATCGATTCAAAGAAGAAAACGAAACCGAATCTATGACGAAAAAATGAAAGAAGTAATAATAATTTAGATTTTTATCATATCAATGTTCATTACTGTAGAAAAAATTTGTTGGAGTCATCATTCGAACGTTCAAATCAATATCAATGACATAAAACTAATTTTTGTATAATTTTACCTTTTGCAAATTGTTTCAACTATTTTTTAGAAGATCCCGTAAGTATTCCAAAGATATTGTAATGTGATATAAATACAGTCTGCTAGATTATATTATTATTTGCAATTTATGGTATTTGATGAATTTTGATAATAATAAAGTCATATGGAACACGTGTAAAACTAAAGGAACGTGAAAAAAATGGAGACCTATAGCTTGTGCATAAGTATGTAATGGAAATGCAGTAAGTGTACACAAACTTTCGGCCGGTAGTTTATGTGTATGTATTATGTATAAATACATATGGATATATGCAGGAACGATGTAAACATATTTCGAAGTCAGTTCTTGCTATAAAGTTAAATGTATATGTACAATAATGTTAGTATCGTTGAAAGTGTTTCAGTATGAAGAAAGTTGTGGTAGTTTCAATAATGAAATACGATGTCACTGTGTACTAATAGATAGGATTAGGCGATAGGGGATTATCATGATAGGACTGTAAGTGGTTAGGTCGAACGTGATAAGGAGAGAGTATTTCTCACCAAGAAGTGGATCGGTCAATGTTACTGTTCCATTAGGGACACCATTAAAGAGAAAATCTACGTTGGTATTCTAGAGTTTTGTCTGTGAACAAGATGAAGATTCGAAACTTCGAAGAAACTTTTTCTTCGATATTATAGAACGAGTACGATAAGAGAATAAAAATATTGCCTTGTCCAATAAGTTTGGATTCGATGATATACAACATTGAAATAAATCATTAAATTAAATAAAAAATTTCATAAAACCATTTAATATCGAATATTTCGTTTCAATTCATGTACAAAATATCTTTAAAATCCGTGAGGGCACAAACGTAAGGTCTCCTTGTTAGAATAAAAAATATTTACAGAAACTTTTCAAAGAAATATCAGAGATTGCAATGCTATAAATTGTACAATTTTGCTATTTCTTTGTAAAGTTTTGGTAAATATTTTTTATACTAAAAGTGAATAGATTTTAATGATTTTTATATTAAATTAAAGTGCACTCTTTTGTCTACGCGTACATTACCATATCGACTTATAAATTTAGCATGTAAAGTTCAGAAAATGTCACAGAATGCAATGCTGTAAATTGAGCATCTTTGCAATTTCTTTGAAAAGTTTTGGTAAATATTTTTTATACTTTTAGCAAATGGATTTTAATGATTTTTATATTAAATTAAAGTACAATCTTTTGTCTACGCGTAGAATACCATATCGAGTTATAAATCAATCTAAAAAGGTTCATAAAATGGCAAAGAATGCGAATTTTTCCTAGTAATCGATATGTTTTTTGATACTTTTGTATATAAAATTGTGGCATGTAATTTTTGGACAGCTCGATATATAGTTTGTTAAAAAAGAAGAAATAAAATAAAATAAGATAAAAGAATAGAATAGAAAAGAAAAGAAAACAATTCTTCTAAATCAAGTTGCTGTGTCTTTTTCCATCAGTTTACGTGAAATGAACGTATGCGAGAAAAAGACAGAAGATCGGCAATCGAAATTCAATCGAAATCAAAGGGATAGAAGTTTATTGGAGCGTAAGAAAGGAATCATCCCCTTCTATCTCTCTCTCTCTCTCTCTCTCTCTCACTCTCTAACGGCCAAGAGAATTCCTTGCGGCTAGAAAATATTTCGCGGTATGGTTGGATCGATCGAGAGCGACCTTATCATATCGCTGGCGATTGCAATTTCGTAACGTTCCCTTGAGACGATTCGAGTTTACTCCTTATCGCCCGATTTTCTAAGATCTCTTTTCCTCCGATCTCTTTTACTCTTTTGGCCCTTCCAGCGACATCGTGGCGCCGTCTAAGTACATCTTCTTACCAGGATTGCGTCGCCCAAAGGGCATTCCCTGATTTTACTTTAAATTCTTTCATATTTATTTTCATGAAATTCATTTTCATTATTTTAATGTATGGAATATAATTTAAAATATGTAATATGTATAATGAGTATGTTGTTAGGATAATGCACTTTTTTTTTCTTCTATTTTTTTTAATAATAATAATATATACAGAGTGGCCTTTAAAATCGTATACCGTTACGCTTAATAGATTTTTGCTTGAAAATTATTGATATAGTTTAAATATTTAGGATAAAGATAATTTATAAAATAAATACGTTAATATATATTTTCATTGGATATTAATTATAATGAGTTTAACTTTTTGAAAGTATTAATTATAACAAGTGAATATATTTAAACTTATACGAAAATAATGTATGTATAATATATAAAATGACCGTACATTAAAATGTTACATGTTTTTTTTTTCATATATTACAATTGGTTCATCCTCTGTTTTTATTATTATTCGCGAATTTATAATAATTTTTAGTAAATTAAATATACATTTATTTTTATTTTACTTTCACACACACAGACACACACACACATATCAGAAAATATATCAATATATATCTTATTTTATACATTTATATTTATTTTACTTTTCATCAAGAAAATGTATCAATATCTTATTAAATTTGTGTGACATATATATATATATATATATTTCTTTTTTATAATTCATAGAGAAATTATATTACATGAAGTATTTGCTGAGAGGAGAAAGAAAGAAAGAAAGAGAGAGAGAGAGAGAATAATAATAATATAATAAAAGCGTATCGTTGAACTCTCATTAGATCATTTTAGTATATTACTAATGGCAGCTTGGCGAACAAGTCGTATTAGTTAAAAACTTTGACTGGAGGTATTCGATCAAACATAGGACGAGAGTGGCTGATAACAAAGAAGAGTAATTATGAGAATTAGAGTGGGAGAGAGAAAAGGGAGGAGAAGGGAAAATAAAGAGAGAAAAGATAGAATAAAATAAAAGATGAAATACGAGATTTCTGTCCGAAATGGATTACATTAAACTCTTGAGTAATTAATCAGGCCAGTTCAGGTCATGCGTATTATGAATGATGAAGTTACTTTATTTTACATTAGCTCTCTTGATTTTATCATCCTACGTTATTACCGATCGGAGAAAGGAGAAATAGAACATATGGACTACAGTAGTGGGCCGGATTTCAACAGTCGGCCTAGTTATCAAATGCAAATACCGTTCCGGTAACTAACCTATGCCGGAAGCATTTCAACCTGTCCAACATTCCTCTATGACAAGGTAGTATAGTTAGAGTGGCCACTGGCTACTGTCTGTTATCGGAGCCCTTATCGAAACTGCTTGAACTATCTTTTAAAGTTACTTCTAATTTCAAAGTGACCCTTTTATAAATGCTTATACGATTTTTACTTATTTTTTGTACTCTCCTTGTGTGTGTGTGTGTGTTTTTTTTTAATTCTTTTCTTTGTCCCTTTCTTTTTTTTACTTTATCTCATTTCTCAACGGTTGAATTTACTTTCTCTCTCTCTCTCTCTTTTTTTTTTTCTCTTGCATTCTCCGACCATTTCTCTGGGGAAAGGATAGAGAGAGAAAGAGAGAGTTATCCGAGCCGGAAATACGTTCGAAGCTAGTACGATGGGTAGATAGGTAGGTAAGCAGCAATGTCATCCTACCGTGAAATACGTATCGAATGTCAGCGAGATTTTAATTCCATTTTGATATACGTATATCTCTGTTGTTAACGCGTTAAGATAAATGTATACGTATATTGCTATAATACCGATCATCACAAATGTTATTCGATACTATACGGTCGTTGTGTAAACGATATTCCTGAAATGTAAATCTAATGAAATAAAGAATGTTCTATTCTATTTATCATTGTTTTATATATTTCAATATTTCATTTAATATCATGTTCCGTTTATTTCGTTTCGTTCGAAATAAACGGAGGAACTCTCTTATTGTTAGTTGTCAAGTATTATTGAAATTGCAGGAAAATGTTTAGGATGAAAATGAAGAGGAAACGTTTCGAATAACAAAAAGGTAACTCAAGTTTAATGTTTAATTGCTTTCTCGCTTAACGTCGACACCGTAGAAGATCTCGTTACTCATAAATTTAACTTTCATTAATCGCTCGTTATCTCTAACTGATGCTGTGTCTTATCAACATGGAAGACGTGCTTTGTTGTAAACATTTATAACTACTTCCTTCCTTCCTTTTCCTTAATGAATGAAACGATCAAGAGACGAATTTATAAAACGAGGATCATTAATACTTACGGCGTTGTTGTGATTCCAGAATATATAAGCTGGGGGTTCTGGACTTTGTAATATAATACATGTGAGGTTGATTGTACTGCCTCTATCGATGTAAAGATCTGGTGAACCGAGAATTTCAGTTTTGGGCTCTGCAAATAAAGATATATCTAAATTAGAAATAGAATTAAGATCGATAATATCCGTGTGGTTATTTGTTCAATTATGTCTATAAGTTATGCATCATCTTTTTGATATATGATATTTATATATATATATAATATTTATGTAATATTTATACATAATATTTAAGTCGTCCCAAAAGTTTCTTACTTTTTTCTTATTAACAATAAATTTGATATAGACAATATATTTTTTTTTCCTTTTTTTTATCGAATAATAAACGAGATTCACATTTTGTTCTCTTAACTTTTTTCTGTGTCGTATGATATTTTTAATAAATTAATATAAAATACAAAATATTGTTCATATTATGTAAAATTATTAACAAACAAAAGAAGGAAAGATATTTTCGAGATGACCCAATAATATCTACAAATCAGATAATATCGTAAAGTATATAAAAAATTTGTTATTTAATTTAAATATAATATTTCATATATCATAATAATTTTTCTCGCGAAATATATGTACAATGATTCACACACACACTGTTACGATAATAATATAAAATGATTAATTTAGAAGTATAAAAATATATATGATATAGATATACTTTTAAAAGTCGTGTTAGTATTTATAGTATCACTGTAACGTCAGGTCTGTTTTGCGTTCTTTTGTAAAACCGAAAGAAGAGCGATACGCTTGGGCTGACCCTCGTGTACTAAGAAAGAGCACTTTGAGGTGGATCATATAGAGTGTATCCGGTATCACATGCTTGGTTCAGGATAAGGGATAAATGGGTGAGACGAGGGTGAATGGGGAATAAGTAAAGGATGGGGAGGGTGAAAGTAATGTGGCGAAAGTAAACGAAAGCTTTTACGTGTGGTATAAGTGTATGTACTCATTATTTATGTGTCTGTGTGTTCATGTGTGTTGCGTGCATTTGTGTATATATTTTGAACAAGATGAAGAGCAGAAAATAGAAAGAAAGAGAGGTCAGTCGTAGTAGATCGATGTGAATATTTTCTGGACGGCCACTTTCTCGAGGATTGATCGAAATAACCGGTCAGTGTAGTTTACGGCTTTTGTGCAACGAATAATGCTAGAACTCCTACAGTTTAACTCTTTTCCTCTCTTTTCTTTTAACATTCTCTTTATTTCTCTCTCTTTCCTTCTTTGCGATGGATAACCGAACCCCTCGAGTCTCTTTCAATCCACTTTGCATGCTAGATCAAGACTGAAAACAAGATTCCGATTTTTCAACTCCTTCCTTTCCGTTTGTTTTCATTCGACTAGACTCTTCCGTTAATATTTTATTCTATCTAATATCCGTTTACTTCTATTGAATTTTCTCTTTTTCCGTTATCATTAATTTTTTAGAATACTTTATAATGTATACGTAATATTATGCTTATTTGCTTTATATAATAATAAAGGATTATTAAATAGCAATGAATTATTATTGGAAATAAATATAATTTGATTATATTTTGATTTTCTTCGCGAATTTTAACGATAATTATAGAGAATTTGATAAATAATCTTGCATATCATTATTTTTACGAACGTCAATATATATATTTTGCTTTTTAACATTTTTTTCTTTCCCTCTCTCTCTCTCTCTCTCTCTCTCTCTCTTTCTTCGATTTTATTTTTTCCTAAAGATCGTCAATCTATCCGAATTGCGGATGCTGCGGAATGGCAGCAGCGTCTATGACACGATCGATAGTACGGCCACGAATATACGTGAAACGCTTTAACGTGGGTTAACCACGGATGAAAGCAGAGCTTTCGGCATTGGACGGTGATCCTTCAAGTTAAAATCACGTATCGGTTCTCTTTTCCATGATGTGGTAACTCTTTTGGGAGTGAATGGATAAGAAGTAGAAAAAGAAGGAGAAGGTTAAAAGTAGGAAGGGTGGAGGATGAGGAGGAGTAGGAGGAGGAGTAGGGGAAATGAATGAAAACGAGCAAAGCAACGCTTTTGTAGATCCTTTTCGTTGGTCTCGGTTTTTCTACGAGAAGACAGACCCTCGAGCGTTTGTTTCCACAGACGATCTATATGGATTTGAGTGGAAGGAAAGAAAGAGGGAAAAGGAGATAGCAAAAAAGAGAAATAGAGAAAGGGATAAAGTAAAAAAAAAAAAAAAGAAAAAATGAAAAAAGAAAAGAGAACAGGGGGGGGGGTGGGAACATACTGACAACACTCGCAAATATTTACCTTTGGAGATTCTTCGAAGCATTAAGATGTCCGCAAAAAAAAACGAAGAAAAAAAAAAATAAAACCGTATAAATAAAAGAATCTCTCGTGATCCAAAAGTTATGTTCTCAAGATTAAACAAAAGCTACCAATTTATTTGGCCCTGATGTGTATTATTTTAAATCAAATTGCGATTATTTTACTTCTATCTTGTTTTTTTTTTGTATATTTTTCTTCCCTTTCGATAGGTATTTTTTTTTTAATGTTTTTAATATCATAAGGTAGATATATAAATACATAAATGATATTTACAACGTGTTTTCTTGTTTTTTTTTTTTTTTTGTTTTCAGTACAAAAGCATAAACATAGAACAAAAGTTTCACGTTTCTCTTGTTAAATGTATTTGTTTTTCTCGTAAAAAATTCTGCTTCCGTTTTTTTCACTTCGTTTCTCTTTAATTAAAATATTTGATAATACGGCAAAGAGTGGAAAGAAGGAAGAAGGATAGAACAAAATATACACACAGAGAGTTGGAAAGCATTAAAGATCCTTTATCTTAATCTATTTGATATGTTGTCAATGGTATCATTTTTTTTTCTTGTATTTTTTGTTTTTTTTTTCGGTCGTTTTTTTTTTATTTTTTTTTTTTTTTTTTTTTTTAACTTTCCCATTTTTTTTTTTTTTTTTTTTTTTTTTTTTACTATACATTCACATATATTTCTTTCTCTTTTTATTTTTTTTTATATCTAATAGACGAGAATGCGATTGCGAGAGAGAGAGAAAAATAATCCGACAAATAACGATACCACTAGAAAATCGATATTTATCGTGCTTCGTACGCAATAGAAAAAAAAAAAATCTGTTATCGTTAAATGGGGGGAGAAAAAAAGAAGGGAGATGGGCTCTTGGTTTAGTTTATATAGTGAAATATAGATTTCCTTTCTATGGAAGCACCCCCTCACCCCCCCTCCCTCTCCCTCTCTCCCCCTTTTCGTTGGGGGTTCGAGTTAAGGCCGTTATCGATGTTGAATTTTACGATCCGCTGGACGACTTCCGCGTGAGTTTCTACGGTGTATATCCTACGACATTTGTCGTAGTCCATTTATAAAAAAAGAGAAAGAGAGAGAGAGAGAGAGAGAGAGAGAGAGAGAGAGAGAGAGAGAGAGAGAGAAAATGATCGAATGATTTTAATTGCTTTACGGTAAAAAAAATGTAGAGCTGGATCGGCGAATAATTCTGAGTCCCTTTTTATTTGTCCTCTTTTTGTCTTCTTTCATTATTTCTAACATTAAAGATCTCATCCGTTTTCTTAATACCGTCCTGTTTATCCCGTTATTTGTTTCGAAAAGAAATCCAATAAATTTTCAATTCTTTTCAACCAACGTATTGGTAATACAAATATAAATAGATAGTAACACGGTTGATAGAAGATTTTAATGAAAAAGTAACATTGATAAATTGTTCTAATATTACATAATATTACCAAAAATTATTCATATAAAAATGAAAATTTCAAGAACTCATTCTTTAATCTTATTAATAACGATTGATGTTATACAGCGAGTTACTTGTTCACGAGAAAAATTGAAGATTTCTAAGTGTTTTATCGGTGTGTTAAATAATAAAAAAAAAAAAAGTAATAGGAATGAGAATGAAGAATGGAATAAAGATAGATAGATAGATAGATAGAGATAGAAAAGTAAAAAAAAAAGAATTGGATAATAGTCGAAGAGATAGAATTGTAGTCGGTATCTCTGTTCAATCGACTCGTTGATCATGGAAGAATGCCTATTGGAGTATTCCTCTCTATTCTCTCTCTCTCTTCTCCTTCAGATTCACCATCACTTGCTTCTTCCTCTCTCTCTCTCTCTCTCTCTCTCTTTCTCTTACGAATTGGATGCTCCGAGACGGCTTTGTGCTTACGGCTGCTATTTGACGAGGAGTCCACAAAGCATATTCGCAAGCGACGCTGTTGACACTCGACCTAAATAAAGCAGCTTGTGTACGATCATGTGTACTCTTCTACTACTGTCTTGCACATGCGCGAATACAAGGGTGAAAGAAAGAAAGAGAAAGAGAGATGACAGAGAGATATTCACATTTATTCATACGATACTATTTAGGATATCTTCGAAGCAACATCTCGGACGAAGGAAATTGTAAATTGCGTTAGATTCGAATTCAAGCTACCCTTGAATGGAGTGGGGGGGGTGGAAAGGAAACTCGATTCGAATGCTGACATTCTACGTAAGAGATAGTAGGGATGGTACGATGGTTTTCTCCTCTTCGAGATGCAAACGAAGATTCCGATCGTTTGAAGTGAAAGTGTGGAAGCTGAGAGAGAGAGTTACTGCGAACTAGAATGCCAGTTGTCTCTCTTTGTATTAGTTGCTTTATCTCTGTGTCAGAATACACGTGCGCTTCAATCTCTGAACCTGACACACTTTTTTCTTTCTCTTTCTATTCCTTCTTTTTCTTTTTTTTTGCTTCCACCCAATCCACTGTCCTAGTCTGTGTTTCCCTTTCCCTCATCCCTTAACTCACGAGAGAATCATTCCGCTCTAATTTCCATTCTTCGTAATTACTAACATCATTCGTGATCCTTTCCCCGTGGATTAATCATTTTTATACTCTGTGGTCCACTTTTATGGGTAATACGGCCTCATCTTTCGGAAATAGTTGTTAATCTGGGAGTATATAGAATAAATATTTGTCGATTATATTTCAAGCTTCAAGTTTTCAAATAACTCAACCTCCTTCTATCTCTCTCTTTCTATCTATCTATCTCATATGATTGTTATTATTTAATCGCAAATATTATTAGGAAAA